GAGGGGAAGAACTTACCGATCATCTCAATAGTTATCGTTCGAAGTACATTCTCTTCCAGACACGGGAAACCTTTCTTGCTCAACCCTCGCGAACTGGTGCGAATTTATTCACGTTAAGGGGATACGCAATGCTGAAAAAGAGGAGCACGTTAGAAAATATGGCATCCTGTTGCAACGTAAACGACTATTTGAATGTCCGCGAGAAATATGAAATAAAATTTTCGAGTTAGCGAAAAAAAAAAGCTATAGGTGAAGAACAAACACGTTGTCGCAAAACGATAGTCTTGAGGAATAAAATGCTGGAAGAATATCAGTCTTGACAAACGACACGAATACTTTTCAGTATATTCGACATTTCTTACGTAACTTCGTAAAAGATCATTATAATTGTAAGGAACGTGTAAATTTCATGGTGCAACTTACTGTAGACAGTGAAATCTATTACAAATTACAAAATTTAAATTAAAAAAAAGAACCATCGCTCTAGAATAAGATCAATAACATGGAAATCAATTAGTAAATGAACACCATAAAACTACATATTCTGAGTGCACTAAAAAAGAGACATATAGTTACAGTTACAACTACAACAGAGGGATAAAAATATTATACATATATAAATTTATTTATCCTTGGATGTCAATGATAAGAAACCAAAATTTCAGAATATATATTTACTACAACGATTTTCATTCGAATTTTTGACTGAAACGATATTCGGATGTATAATCAATTCTCGCCAGTAAACGATATGAATCTGCTATCAAAAGGGTTAAAAAATTTTATTTTTTGACAACTAAACTTTTAAAATTTCTCTTCGTTACATTGTTGAGAAGAAGTGAAAACATTGATCAAGTTCACCGCATTAATAAGAAAAAAAGGAATCACGAAAAATTTGTCATTTCTTTTAAATTTGTTTATGTATTTCTACGCAATGTAACAAACGTTTTATTATTATTGTTCATTAAAAATATCAATAGCTCGCTCATCGATTTATCAACTTCTGTACATACAAATCAATCGGCTTAATTATTTCAAGCGCTAAAGAAGGAGTTAAACGCACATAGATCCTGCCACGATATTCTCCCGAAAGGATTTCTAAAGTAACGAGCGTTTCCATCAGCGGACGCGTACCCATCGAGAGAGAGCAACATTGTCCTTCGAAAATATAACCCCGACAGACATTTTTAAGACGACCGTAAAACACCATCGTAGTTACGGCCATCTAACCGCACATATTGTCTGTCGCGCTCGCGCGCGCTTAAAGCATTCTAGCAGCGGGCCTTATCCATCCGGGGCGATGGAGAGTGCATAAATAACCGGGCAATCGTGGGTGACGAGTTTTCGCGTCGCGTACGACGACTTTAAATCTCTCCGCGCTCCGAAGTGACGCCTCGTAATGCCGGGGTTTGTCGGTCGACCGCCGCGGCCGCCACGTCCATGTGGGTCCGTCGCGCTCTCGGGCCCTGCCACGCCATCCCAGGGCGGGCCCGCGTTCGAACACAGCGTGCACATCGGCGTTACGATCCCGCATTGGCAGGCGTTTGAAATACACTCGGTTGAATTATGAACCGTAAAAACACGGCGGCGGCGGTGGCGGCGGACGATGGGACTCACCGGGGCTTTAACCCGGGTCCCAGTAACCATATTCACCCTCGCGAAGGGTTATTACCAGTGCGCGCGAGTCCGGTGCTGCTCGGTGTGGTCTGCGGTCCCGAATGGACCGCGGACGGAATGCCTGCGAAGCGAAATCCTCGCGAGAGCGAAAAAGGAACGAAAAACGAAAAAGAAAATAAGGAGGAGGTCGAGGATGGTGCACGACGATGAGGCCCTTCTTCGTACGCACGGATTCTAACAGCGGCCGTGCGTCTTGTCTTGTTAATGTGCCCTCGCCTCGTTTTGAAAATCAACGTCCTTTCGCTGCTTCGTAGCAATTCACGAGGCTTTCGCGTACATAAAATTTACGTAATAATATTCCCAGATCAAGTAACGCTGATTTAATATATTAATAAGCCTGCATCGTTTTATAGTAGACAAGACATAGTAAAGACATAGTAAAGGCGATTATAAAAGTGAAAACTATACTTTATAAAATGTAAAATGAATGTACAGTTGAATAAATTATTTTATAATATTATTAGGCAATATTATTTTGTAATTTATTCAACTATGTGTACATCGAGTCTACATAAAACTTGTACACATGTTATATTTATAGTTGCTATCACTATATTTCTTTTAAATATATTTAGTAAAAATATGTATATGTAATTTGAATCTAAAATAATTTACCGCATTACATATTGATTACTATAAGTTGATTATTATAAGTTCACAAAACTGTTATAAATTTACTGTATTATAAAGATATGTATATTTATTGTATATATCATCTTATATACAGCCAATAAATATAAGAGAATTTAATAATAGATAATTAAAAATAATCATAATATATATTGTTATATTTATAGTTATATAAATCATTTCAAACTTTTAAATATTTAATAACACCTTATATTCTAACAAGTACTTTAACTTTTTTTTAACTCTCCTAGAATTAAAATGTCTCGATTTATATCCTTATCCTACAAATTACTTGTTACAAATAACGAGAAATATGAGTATCCTTCCAATTCGACGAAAGATTATCTTCCATAATTCTTTATGAGAATTGACAAGGTAATGGCTCTTTGCGTTCCAGCGTAAATAGTAAGTGTCCATTCGCAGTAACTTCTTATTATTCTTAATTAGTACGAACAATAGTCATGTAATATTCATTAATATCGAAGACGGTCGTGCGTTGTCGTTCGTGCTACATCAAAAGGACGCTCCCGTCCACGTGCTTCTTCTACTGTTTCCGGCAGAGAGGTCCACCTGCCTTCGAGCCAGGGAAGGACACCTGCCGTTTCTCAGACAACCCCCGCGGACTCTGTCCACAAAGCGGAACGAGCAAATGCACATTTGTGTGTATACGTATGTGTATGTACGATACACGCATGTCGAACCCTTCGTGCAACGAGATCGCTAAAAATTTCATCGCGCCTTCCCTACATTTTCTTTACTATGTACTTTGGCAAGAAAAAATCGCGTGCCGCTAATCAACTCGATTACCGTGAGTTCATTAATTCATTGTCATTACGCTCTTCAACTGCACAGCGACGCATCCAATAATCAAGTGAAGAGCATTATAAAATTGTAAAAAAATTTTGTTTAACCCTCCAAAATCGACAAACCCTGTAACATAATTTCTAATACTGGAGAGAAAGAGAGAGAGAGAGAGAGAGCGTTTAGAAAGTGTATAATTAGAATTATGATTTTGAATTATTACATAATCGCATATTAATATAAGAGCCATGATATAATTCCGAATAATATAATTTTTATTATAGTATTGTATAACACACAAATTAACTGACATTTACAGCTTGCACTAAAATTTCCTAATACAATACATTCACGTCATTATAGATACGCATGGCTTTAACGCTTTCAATCACAAAGAAGATTCCCCGAAAGAAAATATACCGTGCAGAATGCAGATAACAGTAAAAACTCGCAATCAAGCAACCATCATAAAAAAAGGAGATCGCATCCCGAAGGTTAAGTACCAATCAGAATGACCTCCTCAGCTTCCCCGAAGACTGGAAGCGCGTACTTCAAGTGCGTCAGAGAACCGTATCACGTCGAAACGAAGGTGTGGTGATCAGAAGAAAGAGAAGAAGAAGTAACGAAAGAAGAAGAAGAAGAAAAAGAAGAAGAAGAAGTGCTGAACGACGAATCGAGGCGACGCGACGCGAAGAAGTAGAAAGATAGGGAAGAAGAAAAGGAGATGGACATTAGCGTAATGATGTCCAGAGAGTGAAGCGTAATGACACCAGGGTCATCGGGCGATACTACAGCGGATCATTCGTCGAGGTCGTGATGACGAGGTCGTTCCCTCCACCCGAGAGCCACCTCCATCATCACCTCACCTCCTCATTCTCCTGGACGTTTCTTCTCCCACCCGCCTCTCCCGCCATCATCGTCCCCATCTTTCCTCCTTCTCTCTCTCTCTTCTGCCACCCTTGATTCTCTCCTCCTCGGTCTCTTCAATCTCTCTCTTTCTCCCGACTCCTCTAGTCCTCTTTTCCTCCTCGTATTCGCAAATGCGATCCCGCGGAATGAGCTGGCTCGGGCCGAGTTGCCCGCCAATAATAATTCTTACCGGATTCAATTTGAATAATGCCGCGTGCGGTTTCCATCGGCATGCCCGAGCACGCCTTATTATCTCACGTACCAACTCGCCTACTCGATATCCATCGATGGTATACCACCCCACCTTACCAGCTACCATTATATTTTTCCCTCCTCATTCTCTTCCTCCTCTTCACCCATCTTCCCCGCGTGACCGAAGCTCTCCGCTTCAGTTTTCTTCGCGCTTCTCTTACACTGTTCTCTAGCTAGTTCACGCGGGCTCGGTCGTTATGATCCCTGAATTTATTTTATTGCTTTTATTTGCACTTTCACGTTGTTACAGCTCGCTCTTTCAGCTTTCGCGTTGCAACTAGTGAGAAAGTGTTTCCCCTGTATGTCAACGAAAGATTTAAACTCCGCTCTTACTTTTGGAATTATATGTTTAAGAATTTAATTTTAAATAGCGAGAGCAAAAAAAAGATTTAAAATATTTATTGTTAGAGAAACTGATAAATACATGTATCGATAAATACAAGTTTCGACAGAAAAAATCAAAACTAGAGAATTGATCATTTCCTGTCTGTTATATTATATATAACATATAATATGTATACATATACATATATAATGGCTGTCAAAAGTTTTCGGCTAATAAGATATTTTATTGTATTGCTCATATACACATAGAAAAATACATACTTCAGACAAATAATAATTACTTGTTTTAAGTATTTCAAAAATTCATGTATACATCAGCAAATATCATAAATTTACCACAAGTATCGTATTTATTCAAAATATATTTCAAATTGTCCTTATTTACAAATGGCACAAAATGATAACAAAAATTAACGCGTCATTTCTCGCTTGATTCACATCACGATTCAATATGGCTATGGTGACAACTCAGTAGCCTTAAACAAATCAGTTCGCGGTACCAGCGACTGGCACGAGT